GATCCTGGAGGTTCAGAACCTCTCCAGGAGCTTCAGAACTGATCCAGGAGAACTGAGCCAGGAGATCCAGAACTGATCCAGGAGGTCCAGAATCAATCCTGGAGCTTCAGAACCTCTCCAGGAGATCCAGAACTGAGCCGGGAGGTCCAGAACATCTCCAGGAGTTCCAGAACTGATCCAGGAGGTCCAGAGTTGATCCAGAATCAATTCAGGTGGTTCAGAACATCTTCAGGAGATCCTGGAGGTCCAAAATTGATCCTGGAGGTTCAGAACCTCTCCAGGAGCTTCAGAACTGATCCAGGAGAACTGAGCCAGGAGATCCAGAACTGAGCCGGGAGGTCCAGAACGGATCCAGGAGTTGCAGAACTGATCCTGGAGTTCCAGAACTGATCCAGGAGGTCCAGAGTTGATCCAGAATCAATTCAGGTGGTTCAGAACATCTTCAGGAGATCCTGGAGGTCCAGAACTGAACCAGGAGGTCCAGAATTGAGCCTGGAGGTCCAGAATTGATCCAGGAGGTCCAGAACCTCTCCAGGAGGTCCAGAGTTGATCCAGAATCAATTCAGGTGGTTCAGAACATCTTCAGGAGATCCAGAATCGATCCTGGAGGTTCAAAACATCTCCAGGAGGTCCAGAACTGAGCCAGGAGGTGCAGAATTTGTCCAGAACTGAACCAGGAGATTCAGAATTGATCCAGGAGGTCCAGAACTGATCCAGAATCAATTCAGGTGGTTCAGAACATCTTCAGGAGATCCAGAATCGATCCTGGAGGTTCAGAACCTCTCCAGGAGGTCCAGAACCTCTCCAGGAAGTGTAGAACTGAGCCAGGAGTTCCAGAACTGATCCAGGAGGTCCAGAATTGATCCTGGAGGTTCAAAACATCTCCAGGAGGTCCAGAACTGAGCCTGGAGATCCAGAATTTGTCCAGAACTGAGCCAGGAGGTCCAGAGTTGATCCAGAATCAATCCAGGTAGTTCAGAACATCTTCAGGAGGTCCAGAGTTGATCCTGGAGGTTCAAAACGGATCCAGGAGGTGCAGAACTGATCCAGGAGATCCAGAATTGATCCAGGAGGTGCAGAGTTGATCCAGAATCAATGCAGGTGGTTCAGAACATCTTCAGGAGATCCAGAATCGATCCTGGAGGTTCAGAACATCTCCAGGAGGTCCAGAATTGAGCTGGGAGGTCCAGAACGGATCCAGAATCAATTCAGGTGGTTCAGAACCTCATCAGGAGATCCTGGAGGTCAAGAATTGATCCAGGAGGTCCAGAGTTGATCCTGGAGGTTCAAAACATCTCCAGGAGGTCCAGAATTGATCCAGGAGGTGCAGAACTTAACCAAGAGGTCCAGAACGGATCCAGGAGGTCCAGAATTGATCCAGGAGATCCAGAATTGATCCAGGAGGTTCAAAACATCTCCAGGAGGTGCAGGACTGATCCAGGAGGTCCAGAACTGAGCCTGGAGGTCCAGAGTTGATCCAGAACCAATTCAGGTGGTTCAGAACCTCATCAGGAGATCCTGGAGGTCAAGAATTGATCCAGGAGGTCCTGAGTTGATCCTGGAGGTTCAAAACATCTCCAGGAGATCCAGAACTGAGCCTGGAGGTCCAGAATTGAGCCGGGAGGTTCAGAACCTCTCCAGGAGATCCAGAATTTGTCCAGAACTGAACCAGGAGATTCAGAATTGATCCAGGAGGTCCAGAACTGATCCAGGATGTCCAGAGTTGATCCAGAATCAATTCAGGTGGTTCAGAACATCTTCAGGAGATCCAGGAGGTCCAGAATTTGTCCAGAACTGATCCAGGAGGTCCAGAACTGAGCCAAGAGATCCAGAATTGATCCAGGAGATCCAGAACAGATCCAGGAGGTCCAGAGTTGATCCAGGAGGTCCAGAATTGATCCAGGAGGTTCGAAACGGATCCAGGAGGTCCAGAACTGATCCAGGAGGTGCAGAGTTGATCCAGGAGGTTCAAAACATCTCCAGGAGGTCCAGAACTGATCCAGAATCAATTCAGGTGGTTCAGAACATCTTCAGGAGACCCTGGAGGTCCAGAATTTATCCAGGAGGTTCAGAACTGAACCAGGAGGTCCAGAATGGATCCAGGAGGTTTAAAACATCTCCAGGAGGTCCAGAAGTGAGCCGGGAGGTCCAGAATGGATCCAGGAGTTCCAGAATTGAGCTGGGAGGTGCAGAGTTGATCCAGAATCAATTCAGGTGGTTCAGAACTTCTTCAGGAGATCCTGGAGGTGCAGAACTGATCCTGGAGGTTCAGAACCTCTCCAGGAGTTCCAGAACTGATCCTGGAGGTGCAGAATTGAGCCGGGAGTCCAGAACTGAGCCAGGAGATCCAGAATTGAGCCGGGAGGTCCAGAGTTGATCCAGAATCAGTTCAGATGGTTCAGAACATCTTCAGGAGATCCTGGAGGTCCAGAACTGATCCAGGTGGTTCAGAACATCTCCAGGAGTTCCAGAATTGAGCCTGGAGGTGCAGAACTTAACCAAGAGGTCCAGAACTGATCCAGGAGGTGCAGAATTGATCCAGGAGGTGCAGAACTGATCCAGGTGGTTCAGAACATCTTCAGGAGATCCTGGAGGTCCCGAACTGAGCCAGGAGATCCAGAATTTGTCCAGAACCTCTCCAGGAGGTCCAGAACTGATCCAGGAGGCCCAGAATTGAGCCGGGAGGTCCAGAGTTGATCCAGGAGATTCAGAACTGATCCAGGAGATCCAGAACCTCTCCAGGAGATCCTGAAATATTCAAGAATCAACCCAGGACATCAAGAATTGATCCTGTTGGTCCAGAACATCTTCAGGAGGTCCAGAACTGGCCCTGGAGGTCCAGAGTTGGTCCAGGAGGTCCAGAGTTGATCCAGAATCAATTCAGGTGGTTCAGAACATTTCCAGGAGATCCTGGAGGTGCAGAACTGGGCCAGGAGGTCCAGAACTGATCCAGGAGGTCCAGAATTGATCCAAGAAGTTCAGAACATCTCCAGGAGATCCAGGATTGAGCCAGAATTGAGACTGGAGGTTCAGAACCGATCCAGAAGATCCAGAATCAATCCTGGAGCTTCAGAACATCTCCAGGAGGTCCAGAATTGATCCTGGAGGTCCAGAATTGAGCCAGGAGGTGCAGAACATCTCCAGGAGGACCAGAGTTGAGCCAGGAGGTGCAGAGTTGATCCAGAATCAATTCAGGTGGTTCAGGACATCTTCAGGAGATCCTGGAGGTCCAGAACTGAGCCAGGAGGTCCAGAATTTGTCCAGAACTGATCCAGGAGATTCAGAATTGATCCAGGAAGTTCAAAACATCTCCAGGAGTTCCAGAACTGATCCAGGAGATCATGAAATATTCAAGAATCAACCCAGGACATCAAGAATTGATCCTGTTGGTCCAGAACATCTTCAGGAGCTCCAGAACTGACCCTGGAGGTCCACAAGCTATCCAGGAGGTCCAGAGTTGATCCTGGAGGTTCAGAACTGATCCAGGAGATCCAGAACTGAGTCAGAACCTCCCCAGGAGATCCAGAAATTATCCTGGAGATCTAGAATTGAGCCAGGAGGTTCAGAACTTATCCAGGAGATCCAGAACCTCTCCAGGAGATCCAGAATCAGTCCAAGAATTCCAGAACTGCTCCAAGGACACCTCTGGATCCCCTCCAGAACTTTCAGAACCCCTCCAGAACCTCTGGAACCACTACAAGGACCCCTCTGGATCCCATCCAGAACCTCCAGAATTCCTCCAGAACCTCCAGAATTCCTCCAGAACCACTCCAAGGCTTCCAGAACCTCCGGGACTTCTCCAGAACCGCTCCGAGGGCCCCTCTGGATTAATTCCAAGGCTTTCAGAACCTTTGGAACTTCTCCAGAGCTTCTCCAGGACCTCCAGAACTTCTCCAGGACCACTCAAAGGCCTCTGGAACTGCTCCAGACCCTCCAGAACTGCTCTGAGGCCTCCCTGGATCCATCCAGGACCTCCAGAACTCCTCCAGGACCACTAAAAGGCCTCCAGAGCCGCTCTTGGACCCCTCTGGATCCCTTCCAAGGCCTCCAGAACTCCTCCAGGACCATCCAGGACCTCCAGAACTCCTCCAGGACCTCCAGAACTCCTCCAGAAGCTTTGAAACTCCTTCAGGACCTCCAGAACTTCTCCACGATCACTCAAAGGCCTCCAGAACTTCTCAAGAACCTCCAGAACCGCTCTGAGGACCCTCTGGATCTCTTCCAGAACCTCCAGAACTTCTCAAAAACTCCTCCAGGAGCTCCAGAACCGCTCTGAGGACTCATCTGGATCCCTCCAGGACCATCCAGAACCTCCAGGACTCCTCCAGAACCTCCAGAACTGCTCTGAGGACACATCTGGATCCGCTCCAGGACCTCCAGAACTTCTCAAGAACTTCTCAAGAACCTCTAGAACCACTCTGAGGCCCCTCTGGATCCCCTCCAGGACCATCCAGGACCTCCAGAACTCCTCCAGAAGCTTTGAAACTCCTTCAGGACCACTCAAAGGCCTCCAGAACTTCTCAAGAACATCCAGAACCGCTCAAAGGCCCCTCTGGATCCCTCCAGGACTTCCAGAACTTCTCCAGGACCTTTGGAACTCCTCCAGGAGCTCCAGAACTGCTCTGAGGACTCATCTGGATCTGCTGCAGAACCATCCAGGACCTCCAGAACCTCCAGAACCACTCAAAGGCCTCCAAGAACCTCTGGAACTCCTCCAGGAGCTCCAGAACTGCTCTGAGGACTCATCTGGATCCGCTCCAGAAGTTCCAGAACTTCTCCAGAACCTCCAGGAGCTCCAGAACCGCTCTGAGGCCCCTCTGGATCCCTCCAGGACCATCCAGGACCTCCAGAACTGCTCTGAGGACTCATCTGGGTCCGCTCCAGGAGCTCCAGAACTTCTCCAGAACCTCCAGGAACTCCAGAACCGCTCTGAGGCCCCTCTGGATCCCTCCAGGACCATCCAGGACCTCCAGAACTTCTCCAGGACCTCTGGAACTCCTCCAGGAGCTCCAGAACTGCTCTGAGGACTCGTCTGGATCCGCTCCAGGAGCTCCAGAACTTCTCCAGAACCTCCAGGAGCTCCAGAACTGCTCTGAGGCCCCTCTGGATCCCTCCAGGACCATCCAGAACCTCCAGGACTGCTCTGAGGACTCATCTGGGTCTGCTCCAGCACCTCCAGGACCTCTGGAACTTCTCCAGAACCTCCAGAACTGCTCTAAGGCCCCTCTGGATCCCTCCAGGACCTCCGGAACTCCTCCAGGAGCTCCAGAACTGCTCTGAGGACTCATCTGGATCCGCTCCAGAACCTCCAGGAGCTCCAGAACTTCTCCAGAACCTCCAGGAGCTCCAGGAGCTCCAGGACCGCTCCGAGGCCCCTCCAGGACCATCCAGGACCATCCAGGACCTCCAGGACCGCTCTGAGGCCCCTCTGGATCTCTCCAGGACCATCCAGAACCTCCAGAACTGCTCTGAGGACACATCTGGGTCCACTCCAGGACCTCCAGAACCTCCAGAACCACTCAAAGGCCTCCAAGAACCTCTGGAACTCCTCCAGGACCTCCAGAACTGCTCTGAGGACTCATTTGGATCCAATCCAGGACCATCCAGGACCTCCAGAACTTCTTGAGATCTCCTCCAGGACCTCCAGAACTTCTCCAGGATCACTCAAAGGCCTCCAGAACTTCTCAAGAACCTCCAGAACCGCTCTGAGGCCCCTCTGGATCCCTGCAGGACCATCCAGAACCTCTGGAACTTCTCCAGGAGCTCCAGAACTGCTCTGAGGACTCATCTGGATCCGCTCCAGGAGCTCCAGGACTTCTCCAGAACCTCCAGGAGCTCCAGGAGCGCTCCGAGGCCCCTCCGGGCGCCTCCAGGACCTTCCAGAACCTCCAGGAGTGCTCTGAGGACTCATCTGGGTCCGCTCCAGAACCTCCAGGAGCTCCAGGACCGCTCCAAGGCCCCTCCAGGACCATCCAGGACCTCCAGAACTTCTCCAGGACCTTTGGAACTTCTCCAGGAGCTCCAGAACTGCTCTGAGGACTC